TAATTAAAATGTACTTTAATTATTGAGGGATTTTTAGTTAAATAATTTTGAATAGCAAGATTTTTCCTGCTTTGATTTCAGTATGGCTTTAATAGACCACCAAGTTAATGGTTCTTTGGGTCTATCTAGAATGTGAATGAGCTGAACCAGTGGCTGTCAGCGATCAGGAAAGTCAGCATCTACAATGAGCGCATGCTGCCCTCTTTCCACCCAGGGGCTCATCGCAGTGGCAAATGGACCTGCTGCCTGCAGGCTGACCGGGCTGGTAATCCATGCTTTTATTATTATCATCATTATCATTATTATATGATAGCTGAGCAGACTTTAAAATCTTTCTATAAGGGCTCAGGATGTAGTTTAACCATCCTATAACCTAACCTATTTTTATTGCACTGCTCATATAAGAAATGCAGCCCAGATTTACAGTTACAAATGGGTTGAATTACACCCAAGATGCCCCCAGCAGGATCATCAGGATCATCAGCATCTCAGCGCATAAGCAGTGTTGTCCATCAACATGCATTACTTCACTCCTTGTCGACTAACTTGTAGCTGGCTTCAAAGAGCGACTGAGCTCCTGGCGATCCATATTTAATGACTAAACCCTCAATTTGTAGCTGCCATGTTTTTGTTGCGTCAGTGGAGACCGAGCTCTGAGAATCATAATGTGATTTTCTCTGACCAATTACATTTAGTCACTGTCTGAGGGCTACATCTGATTAGATTTCTTGTGTGGTTTTTAACGGTCCTGAACAACAGAATTGTTTCATCAGCTATCGTTCATGTGATGTGTGTTCCCTGGGTGATAATTGCCACCACACTGCTATTTGTACAAAAACTGTACTATGAAACCTTCATCAAATTGTCAAGTTGACAGATATGTCAAGTTTACCTGTGTGAGGTTCACATGTAGAGCAACACTGCTCAATAAGAGACTGGTTCACAGTTACAGGCTGCAGTAGAACCCACTCAGCTGTGACTCTGGGTGACTGGAGCGACCCGTTGGATCCTGACGTAGAGTCGCAGACCATATTCAAGCAGCTGCTCCAGGGCAAAGAAAAACTCAGGTTGGTGGAGAAAACACTGTAAATATCCTCAGCTTGGATGCTGTTCATTTATTGTACACTAGAGGTCAATGTTGCAATACAGGAAGTCACTGCTCTGCTGCTTCTTGACAGTACAGAACAATCAGTTTAACTGTGAAAATACAAAGCAGCTTCTACAGAATAATCTGTGATCATATGATTTATAGATGTAGATTTTTTGAGAGGGAAACTGCCCCCCCCCCCCCCCCCCCCCCCCCCAATAACAACATCAAAGTACAGCAAAGGCAAAGGACTTTTATTTTGAAAAGAAATAAGATAAAAAAGATATTTCCATCATAAATCGGTGCATAAAAATTCACCAGGATGTAAGAAATAAGGTGTCAGAATGTATGCAAATATCCTGGAGGAGGACCCCCAAACCCCCTGCTTAATATGTGTCCTCCCCAATGTTGAAATGAAACTAATGCCCTTTATATGATTAATGTTTCTGACTGATACTGCAGGAAAAAATATTTGGAGACGCCAGACGCTGATCAGACGTCCAGCAATCAGGCAAAGATCAACTCTCACCCTGGTGAGGCTGCAGCTGCATCTAAACTACATTTTCTGCCACGGTGGAAGGATTTTTATTTATGTGTTTGGCCTTATGTTATCACCTTGGTTATTTATTTTGGTTTGAAAGCACTGTACCTTTTCTGCCTCGTAGATGGAGCAGAATGCAACGTTCAGCAGATGAAGCCAGGTCAGAGCATCGCTGCTCGACTGCTGGCGGTGATAGACGATCTGGAGCAGGCTCACGCCACCTTCCAGCGCAGAGAAAAAGAGGACGGCACCAGTGTCATTCTGAATCCCTAGACTCCACACAGACTGGGATCCACTACTAATGCCTGAAGGTGGGGGGTTGGGGGGCGGGCAACATCCTGTACCAACACAAGTGAGCATCACATATTCACTCTCTTGATTGTCAGGGAGAAAAGTGGCCACAGGGTGCAGCCTCTTTCAGCTTTTTAGTACATTTCCCGCTGTAAAGAGCAGAGGGAATTCTGCCACTTTGAATCTTTTTGTATTCTCTGAGTGCCACCAACTTCAACAGCGCCGGGAAGAGATTATAATACTAACGATAAAGGGAGGGCGAGGGACTTTGAAGCATGATCTGACTTGATTTTTTTTTTTTTTTTTTAATGTAGATAACAAGCAATCTCTTGCATGACCTGCATCCTCTTGTGAAATGTGAAAAGAAGCTTTTATATTTTGAGATACTGTACAGGACCTCAGTCAGGGTCACACATTTTTATGCAAAAAGCTTGTTGTAGTGTAATCTACAGTACCTGAATGTAAGGTGTTTTGATATTGCTTTTATCAACGTTTTGTATTTTATTGAGATAATTCAATAATATCACCATGGTCGCGATGTAGCAGTGACATTAACGTTATAGGTTATACCGACAAGAGTTTATTACACGCTGGTGCACATGCCACAGTAAAACGCAGCCTGTACAGAGCAAAAATGAATATTAATTTAAATGTTGCTTGGTCCCTTTATACAAAACAATGTGCTTTTGTTTGGTGCTATGGCCAGTCAATTTAATTGTTTGGTTCTGATGTAATGTGCATATTTAAAATGACCTTACACTTGATGTACTGTAGCCATACCTAAAGTCCTAAGAGTAATATTTGCCTGTTCACAATAAGGGGTGAGAACCAGAGAGGCGTAAGTGACATTTTGGGCAGAAATTAGTTATACATATATTAAATGAAAGCTCTTGATGAGCTCTTTCTACTGCCAAAAGGAGCTGTTAATAAAAAACCAAAAGGCTTAACACTGAACACACTGAAATATGTGGGGCCAAAAAGGACATAAATGCACTTACTCACTTTTTTTAAAAATAAATGACAAAATAGGAAGAAATAATGAACTTCAGGCACTCAGAAAAACAGGCATTTTTTTCAAAATAAAAGCCCTTATTCAGGGAATATATCAAAAATCATATCAAAAATGAGGGAATATATAATTTTCTTTTTTAATTTCTGCACCCTGACGAAGACCATAGAGTCAAAACCAATTGGTGTTTTAATGTAAGCAGCCATGTTTTGATATAAAGGCTTTTTAACTTAATTCAAATGCATCTGTTGCATCATGCTCCACACGAGCGCCTGAAGTTCATTTTTGTCTTCCCATGTGCCGACCCTTTTCTTCAAGAGCACCTGCGTTTTTTCTTGAGTATCATATGATAAAGACGGTCCTCAAGCACATTACTGTCCCTCAAAATGTCAAAATATTGTTCATTAAGTATATTGTCATCCACATTATTAAGTTTTGATATTAAAGATTAAATTAGATAAATGTATTCAGGACAAAGTATGATCATTTTTAGTTTTGGCTGTCTTGTAAAGCTTGTAAAATGTCAACCTATGTCCCTCTGGTTCTCACCTCTCAGTGTCCATGACTGAGACAATAGAAGTAACAATTATGTGAGATGGTCCCTTTTGATAAAGTTTACATTTTCTTGAGATTTTGGTGCCACTATATTCGGCTCACAGGTGTCAGGATATGTTTTAGATGCCATATTTGTTTTTAAAAAGGTAAAAAAAAAAGGATTGAATTTCAAAGCACTCAAATCACACAATTTTCTTTACATATCTGTTTGACACACAAACTGTACACAGACATGTTGTAAAGCCATTTCCTGTAGAGAGAGTAGTGTTCGGTGTCTTTCCCTTAAACAGAGAAGGTCAGTGAGTGTAATGGAGATCAGATCTGGGATTTCTCAGATAGCTCAGCAGGCCACCCTGCCTCTGGAGCTGTTTACATTATATTCCGGTCCAGCTACTGTAGTGTCTGTCTTTCTTTTAGAGGAAGAGCCGTGGCATATTTATGTGTGCAGTAAACATTCTTCCTGCCTTTAGATGTAACACTATAGTACACAACTGATATTCATACACCAACAAAACTAGAGTAAACATCAGATGTTGCTTGTGAACTCAATATATTCCCTGAATAAGGGCTTTTATTTTGAAAAAAAAAACCTGCCTGTATTTTATTTTGCAAATACACCATGATGGTTTGTTCCAAGTGGATTGTTACTGTGAACTAAACACAACTGTATTATTCAGTAAACTACTATTTCAGCTAATGACTCTGGTGTCAAATTTATACCCAGGAAAACAAAAATGACACCTCATTATAAATACATTAAGGGCAGAAATTATTAATACTAAGTATCTCATTTTCTGTCTTACGTCCAGGTCTGACTCAGCGCAGGCAATGACATTCATTCATTCATGGTATTACAGGAAATGTCATTATGTGTCTGACAGATCCCAGAGCAGCCTCACAGTATCATGGTTACCACAATGTCCCTCTGTTCAAATGAATAATTTAATCAAACCACCATAACCACTGACTTTACAATTCAACAGAGTTAGAATCTAATGTTAAATTATGCCACACAAACAATGTTTGCAGCCCTTCCTCCTCCCGGCATTATTTAAATGCTAATGAGAGTGGACCTACCTGCAGTGATGCAGCAGAGTCTCCATTCCAGCTCTCTCATTAGGCATGAGAGGTGAGCGCTGGGAGGAGGGGGGTTAGGTACCAGAGCTAACAGGAAACTGACCCCAAAGCTGCTGGGTCAACGCTGGAGGAAAGAGGGCTGTGTTGAAGGGGGAAGCTGATCTCCTGGTGTCCTTGGTGAACAGCCTGTTTTAGTATGCACCGACCACATCTCTTCACCACAGCACCAACATACAACAGCCAGTGACAGAAAATGACCATAAAGCAAATTTACTGCTAGCAAGAACAGTTCCTGCTGCACTCCACGGCTCCAGCAAAGCTCATTTATAACCATATAAAGAGGTGTAGAGCACAGAGCTGCTCGAGGAGAAGGAAATGGTGCAGCTAAATGAAAGAGGGCATGCAGTGGGGAGAAAAAACGAGGGAGAGCCAAGATGACAAAAGGTCAAACAAACTACCCCTGTCCAGGGTACATTTATTTTTCCACAAGAAAGACACAAACATGCAACAAGGTCATCACAATTCAATAAAGACCGATAGATTAAGAAGCCCTTTATAGTTGAATCAATGTCTCTATGTCTTGCTTTTAGTTGATCTCAATTTCTCTTTGTGAACCATCTTAAATAGCAATATGTAGACACTGCTTAAGAGAACTCAAACCACAGAAATCATGATTTGAAAATGTCAATTAAAATGGGCACTTCAAATGCAAAACATTCTGATGTTTTACATGTTGTTGAAAGAATGAGGAGAGCAGCCAAACGCTGCCTCGTCCCCGTGTGTGTAAATCAAATCCAACAGACGGAAAAACCTTTCTAACTAACTGGATTAAGATGCAAAACCACAGTGCTAAATCACCAGGAGACCTGGGTGATATCTCTAAAGAAGCTATGATGTTTTCATACGCAAAAAAGCTATGTCGTTGTCAACAAACTTGCTCACAGTTTGGTTAACATGCACCTCTAGGAGAACATTACTGTATCTTTAAAGGACATGAACCCAAGATCCGTTTCGACACACACTCACACACACTCGCACAGACAAACAGATACAAACACACAGTATATGTATAAATGTTAAGGTATCATTTAGAGACAGAAGTACAGTTTGCAGTTGACACTATGAGAGAGTACAACTTTAAATACTTCATATGTTGGAATAAAAGTAATTTTATCCCACTTCTACTCAAATGGAAAATAGTATGGAATAAATCTTAATAAGAGTAATACAGCAATGTTATGTAATTGTTCTTTTAGAGACAATCATCATTCAAAAAAAGACATCAAAAATATATGTTTTCTAATACATAGCATGTGAACATTTTCGGATCGCAACCCCTTTGTTTAGAATCCTGGAGGTAGGCACCCCATAAAGAAAACATCCATTGTCATTTAAAAACAAAACAAAAAAATGTCTGCCTTCTTGCTACACATAAATCATGTATTAGATCTTAAAAATAGTAAATTGCATAAACGCCATCTCTCTCTCTTTCTTAATCAGACAAACAGCCTACCAAACCAGGTTTTATTCATCATTATAAGTCTGTACACACCTGAAAAGTCTAAAGGGCCTGCAATCGTTCATACTACAAGGCCGACACATGGAAAGGAAAAGCAGAAGAAGCAAACATTTGGATTTCTCTGGTTAATGAAACTTCATTTAACATGGATAAAATTCCCTGATAGGTTGGAAGCATTCTCTCTTGCTGTCCTGTATTATAAAGGGAGTTGAAAAGGTTGTGAAGGAGAAAACTTGAGATGGAACAGGACAAATAAAAACTGTTTTCAACGCCTGGGTCAGAAATCACAAACACTTCTAGTGGTCTGTTTTAGCCACTGCAGGTGCCAAAAGTTAAGGAGAGAATAGGGGAGGTCGGGAGCAATTGTAACATTTTTGTTTTTTGGTTTTGATGTCATTACACTAAAACCCCTTGAACTATTTGGATGAAATGTTTATGAAGGTTACTTGTATCTGTGTTCTACTTGTTAGCATCATCAAATGGTTTTACAATCAATGTTTCACCCTTTATCCACCAACATTTGCATGTGTGCAGATGGACGGGTCAGAAACCAGGTTAGTAAACAGCAGAAAGCAGCATGGAGGCCAGTGAAATTGTTACAGTGGTTACTTCTTCTTTTATTTTTTATTTTTACACCTAATTAAATAAGTGTAATTAATCCTATTAAGTATGATACATCAGTTGTCCTTTGGCAGACAGAGAGGGATCACCACAGTGTTTATAAAATGTGTGTCAATAAGGATGCCTTGTATCGTACTACAAACCAAATCTACCTACTGGTACAAATAAAGTAGCCTTACCTAACCTTATTGCAGAGCATGTGCAGAGTGTCATGGCTCTGTCTTGCTCTTGATTGCTGCAATTTCAGAGGTTACAACTGCCCCCAGTCCATCCTACACAGAAACATGGTTGAAAGCCCCTGAAAGATTTTAAATTTTGAGTATTTATCGATACTATTACGTACTCGTGGCTGCACAAGCAGCAAAAAAAGCTAATGTTTGAAATATCCTCTTTAGCTTAACACTTAAAGAGATAGTTAATCTCTGTTGCTACCTAGCAACGTACATTGCTGACTAGATTCAGACATTGGTACATTACATTTCCCGTTTTTTTTAAGGTGAATAAGCAACAACTGGACAAACCATCCAGCAGTTGAATTCGTGGGAATAATGCATGGCTGTATGTCAGAACAGACTTTTAGAAAAGCAAGGACACACAATCAACACATCTTATGTTACTGTTCTAGCTGTAAAACGATGCTGTGTTTTGAAGAAAGACATAGAAGGGCCTTTGAAAAAAATGTAATTCAGTGTACTTAGGTCCAATCTGTTGCTCCAGTTAGCTAAAACAAACACCATATATTATTTGTGACTTCTATTTAACCCAGGCATGCTGCTTCACCTTCGAACTGAGCAAAGATTGCTGACTGCATCCATTCCCACGTTCTGGACGAGTAGAAAAAGAGAAATGGCCCATATGGGAGGGGGAACGGACATCTTCATGCTGCTAAAACTCCCCCACCAATAATAAAGACACATTTACTGTATTTATTGGAGTCCCCCAGGGGATCAACTACACAGATTCTACATTAAGGTAACGACAGCAGCATACGCTAAGACTACTTGTAATATAAGACGTCCATAACATGTCGTACATATTTCAACAGTCCCTGACATACTGGCAAATTCATCTTTGCCAGATTTTATGTATTCATGTTAACATGTGCCTGTGTATAGATATGTGGGCCAGTCTGTATCTTTATATTTTCTATATAGAAGAGTATAAAAATAAATTAAACTTACACCATCGACTCAAATTGAGCTTGAATTTAAAGGTATATCACATCTGCAAATGTATATCATATATATATATTTTTCAAAGCATTGCAAGCCGCTTTATAAACATCAACTTAAAAAAAACACAGATTTAGTTGCAATTGAAAACATTGTCCTAAAAATGAAACGACTGATTAAACAAAACCGTTGCCTCAAAGTTCTATGGAAGACTATGATTCACTCCAAAATTAAGCTCACAGCTGGGTGCCCACACCATAAACCTTACATCAACACCCCCGCTCATTAAAATTGATCAGATATATTTATGGAGAATTATGCAGCACTGGGTTATCTTTTATCTCAGAGGAAAGAAACAGCACAAGATCTCCACAGAGGACCTTCAAAAAGTCTTTACCTCACGGGCCTAATATCTGAGGAGAGCGTAGGAAAAATAGTTCCAAGCAAACTACACACTCAACCAACATTTGCATGGCTCCTAGAATGAAGCTCTCTACCGCTGTTGCTGCTGAGGAGGAGGAGGAAAGTGGGGGTGAGGCCATACATCAGGATCATCCCTAACACCTGACTGAGCTCACACAGGGAATAAGATGTTTCTCTGCTTGCTATACAAGCAGTGGAGCCCAGTGCACTGCCCAGCAGCAAACAAGCTCACCAGAGACTTTTGGATTGCAGGCGAGCACGAGCCCGTGATAGATCTCCAAGGGAGAACTGTTGGTGTTTGAGAAAGAAACGTCCACGTGCGAGGAACATTTTCAGCTTTTCTCCTCAAGGACCACGCCAGCATAATATTGCCTCAGAGCACGCAATCACACACTCGCCCCTCATGTATGGTCAGCATGATGGATCGTGCCGACGCCTGGGTTTGCCTCCAACAGGGAGAAAAATAATGCAGGCCTTATATTCACAGGGGTCAGCGTCATCGGTGTGTCAAAAAAACAAATGAGTTTAACCTTGGAGTATAGCAGATCTCGCTTCACAGCCTCAGCCTGTCAAGTTACAACACCTCATAACAAGCATCAAACTGACTGGTAAGATGCTTGTTTCATCTATTTCACATCTCCTCCTTTCCGGTCTGCAAGGTTAACCATACAACATACGTTTATTACCAAACACTTATATTTCATAGCCTTTATCTCTCTGTAATCTACTTCAAGCACTACAGAGCACACTTCCATTTTACAGAACAACTGACTGAAGGTATCAGAAGTGGAAAATGTCAGAGATGCCCAGTGCAACTTTACAGTCAAATCACCAAAGCTTTAATCCTCCTTCAAATCACAAAACCTAGTTTCACCACTTGTTACAGAACAATAATTAATAATTAGAGAAAAAGGGAAACTTATATAATCAGTTCATTTGGATTAATTCGCAATGCTGAAATTCTCTTAAATTTCTCTTCACGATATCAAACAACAACCGGCCTATTGACACCTCACCCTATTGCTACTGATATTCGCCCAACCTTCATTATGCAGCGTTAGTCTGGGCCATGCATTCTGGAGTTCAGCATTTACAAATATGCCTTTGTATAGTTTTGGCCCCTCAGCAAGTGCAGAGGAACAGTTTCAGTTTCAATCTAAGGGGTTAAATACCATTTACTAAATCTGAAATCTCACCTTGTCTTTACATTCTTCAACCCTCTGAGAAAAGTTGGCATGAACACAACATGCTCAAGGCATGGATCAAGAGACAGCAAGGGGAAATTCTTAGGTTATACAAATCAAAATATTGACCATAACCACGTCATTTATTTTGCTTCCGTTGCTCTTGTGCCACCACTTCTGCAGGTTGTTTTTGTTTGTGGGGAGTAAAGACTTGTCGGCTGCTTGTTGACCCGTCATGCAGCGTCCTGTTCTCTGGGGGACGGCGGGGCATGGTGGGTTGTGTTCCTGTGTACCAGCTCAGCTGGCAATCAGTCTTTCAGGTTTTCCTCACCGACCCCCTGGGCCGACAGCTCTGTCAGGACGTTGTCCAAGTAGTTGGGGTCAGGGTAGCCGTGGCCGGTCAGGTTGGAGCCAAATTCTGTCTTGTGGTGAATCTCGTTCCACACCACTGTGTCCGACTCACCGGTGGTGCTGGACGTGCCGATGGTGAAGATGAGGCGTCGGTCCCAGGCCATGATCAGCAGCTTCAGGACCTGGAGAGACAAAAGAGGGTGGAGAAGGAAGTTGTTATTCCTCTGTAGCAAGAAGGAGGTAACACCAAGGTAAGTCTTCTTTCATAACATAAACTGATGCACACTCATGCTACTCAGAGAACCAGGGTTACATAAGTAACTTTAAGTTTTTGTTAAGCAAAATCTACACACACAGATTGCCCGTAAAGCAGAAAAGCTTTCCGCTCTGAAGAAAGAAAATTCTATGCACCAGGGAGCACTGGAATCCCACATGGTTTTAATGTTTGTTGAGCCTTTAGTTTTAGGTCATTGTTTTCTTGGACCGGTGTAAGAGCGTACCTTCCTGCCTTTGTCGTTGTCAGGGAGGTAGCAGTGTCGAGGGAACCCTCTCGCACTGAACTTCTTCCCGGGGTTGGGGTGCTCATTGGTCTGGTAAAAAAATGTCAAAAGCAAAAACAAACATTACAACTCCTTCTCTTCCAATTACGACTTAACTGTGTGAGAAATGTCAACAGCACCCACAGGATGAGCTTCATTGTCCACATGGCTCATCATTAGAGAGACATGCTAGTGTAAATATCCAATTATCTCTTCAAGTATCATATTTTAGAAATTTGCTCTCAGGGCTCCAGTGTGAGGAAAAATGCTTGATTAAATCCTAATATGTCCACAGGGGCTTCCGAAGGAGGGCAGAGGATGTACTGGTCACCAAATATATTTGTCAACTCTTCCTGCAGATTACCCTGCCCACCCCTATTAATGAAGGAATCATATACAGTTACAGTTGCTTTGTCGTGACAAATTAGTCACATCATGCTCCGTATTGCTGGTGAGGTTTAAATTGTGTTGCAAACAAGTAGCTGTTATTCCAAGTCTTTTGTGTGGTTTTCTGCCTTTAATAGGCACACTAATTGGGCAAATTAAAATGTCACATTTTTTACAATGACTGCCTTCCTGCCTTTTTTAAGTGGAAAAAACATGGAGCACAATGAGGCAGACCAACAACAACATCTAAATGCAAAGCAGGTACCGAAAAGATACTGAAGGTACAGTGATTTAGTGATTGTAACTAATGTTGTTTTGCTTTTGTCAATTCAGGTGGTGATCTCAAAGATTTGCATTTAAACAAAGGTCATTAGTCACTATGAATAGTGTATCACAATGGTGACTGAGCCTATGGCCCACTGATGAAAGTATTGCAATATTTTTTTGATTTGTAGTATTGTAAACTGTGGCGACGTTAACGAAAACATGTTGTGTAAAGTTGCTGCTAATGCAAACATTTCCTCCTGGGGCAGCTTCACATTAAAAGCATTTTAGTGGCAAAACATGAGTTGACTTTAATCATGAAAGAGTCACAGGAAATGTACGGTGTTTTTCAGTGAACTTAGCACTTACTGCGGTTGAGCATCAACCAAAGAAGCAGCCACAGTGAGCTGTTAGATTGAGAGCTGCATGCGAGAGGCTGCAAACCTCAAACCTTCGAACTGAGTAAGGTAACCAGCCAATTTCACTATTCCCTGCTGTCCCCAGATGCATGTCGTGTGCGGTGTAAAATCAGATCACTGTATCATTAAACTGCATTTGCTGTTACCACCACAAACTACTGGTGTCACCAAATCAACCAGGGCTGGAATCCCCAAGATTGCCACTTAAGCCTTTTATAGAGCTGTATATTACCTTTCTAAACTCAACTAAAACTGTTCTTTAGAGTGTGGACTGAGGAGCGAAAGGAGAAAAAGAGGCAGGACACCTGCAGAGATGTTCCCTGGTGATAGTGCTTCTGTGCTGACCTGAGTGGTCAGGTCATCCCCACTATTCTCTGTCCACTGGGACACTAAAGCCTGTTCCTCTGGTGGAAAAAGGTCAGTTTATTGACTCTATTAAAGCTCCTCTCAGCAGTCAGGATGAAATATGAAACCTTTTCATCTCACCAACACAAACTGCCGAAAACACACACTCCTCTCCACTGCGATGTGATGGAAATTCAAAATGACCTTCATTTGGTTGTTATTTTAAAAATCTACTTGTTTATTTGATATATACTAAATGATTAATTAATTATTTTAAAAAAACCCTGCAAATTAGTAGATGGTGGAATCTATGTCTGCCCAGAACCACTGTGTGATCTCTAAGAATGCTGTTTCCCCAGTGACTTACACAGCCACAACACCTCACCTTCCTGCACTGATAACTGTCCGTCAAACTAAAGCGGATAAGCTGCAGTAGTAGAAAGGGCACAGAGAGAGAGAGAGAGAGAAGAGACAGTGGATCAGGGCACAAAGGCAGCATGGCGGATTTAGTGAGGTGACATGGTTCTGACCTGGATCCCGGCAGGAATGTCGTAGACGATGCGGATGGTCTTGGAGTCTGGGTAGCCAGGCAGGCAGTGGGGAATGACGTGATACTCCATCTTCCCAGGAGGCTGGGTGCCTGTTTTCTCTCCATAGATGGTTTTGCATGTTGGACACTGAAGACTGCCATCCTGGTTTAAAAAAAAGAATGGTATGGCATTAATAATACAATAAGATGACATTGGCATTTTTAGCTGTGTCAGATTGCTTTCACCCAAATTACAAATAATTTTTAATGTCATTTGTCGTGGTATCTATACATGCATATAGTTTTAGTTTTATTTGCATACTGACATATCTGTTTCTGAGATTTCTGCCTTCATTCTAAAATAATGGACATGAATGACATACAGGCTGTGGTGTTTAAAGGAATACTCCGCCCTCCAAATGATCATTTGTATATTGATTACTCAACCCGTGTTACGCTGAATTTGGGGAATAAACTTCATATTTCACGCATGCCTTCGATGAAAGAAGAATTTAAAAACTGAGAAAAAAAAACCTTGATAAATTGGAGCACAATAGGTCTGTGTTAAGCAACAAAACTATCATCAAAGCATCCATTTACAAACTCTCACTCAACTCATGCAGTATAATGTAACATGGGGTAAGTAATCAATGTACAAATGATGATTTGGGGGATGAAGTATTCCTTCTGAGAGCAAACTCGTATTTAAAGGTCCAGTGTGTAGGATTTAGTGGCATCCAGCGGTGAAGTTCGCAGCTATGGCAAATGCAAATCTTCCAGTGCTTTGCCCATTACAGGTCAAGTGTGTAGGATAAAGTTGCATCAAGCAGTAAGGGTGCAAAAGTGAAACTTCTTCCATGTGCCAAGTGTGTAGGAGAGCTACGGTAGCTGATGTGAGAAGGTGAATGGCCCCATCGAGAGCCAGTGTTTGATTTATCTGTTCTGGGCTACTGTAGAAACAACATGACAGACTCCATGGATGAAAACTTGCTCCGAATGTAGACAGAAACAGCTCATTCTAAGGTAACAAAAACACAAGTCTTAGTTTCAGGTGATTATAAACTAATGAAAACATAGTTATTATATTATATTCAATTTCTGCCAATATTTCCCCCTAAATCCTCAACACTGGACCTTTAAAGCTGCACTTATCAATATATTCATTGCAATGATGATCAAATGACAGCTTGTAATGTGAAAGGTTTCCTCTATGATGATGAACCCACAAAGAAATGACCACCCAACTCTGCAGTTCCCCTCAGATCTACAGAGCATTTCAGCTCATTGTTCTGGTTTTATACTACAAATGTAATGTTCTGGTTCACTCTCGCTCGTCTCATCAACCTCATGCCAAGCCACAGGCAGCTGTTTAAGTAAAACAAATTTAAATAAACCCACTGTATGCTAACTGCCCAGCACCAAACAGCAGGAAGACAAAGTTAGCAATTGGCTAGAGAACCAAGTGGAAAATTTAGCAGCTTAAAGGCCTTGAAACAACAAGCTATCAGTCGGCCATCAGTCAATGTTTTTCAACCAATGGCTGGTTGGTCAATTTTTTCAGCCAATTTAGCATGTTGAATCATCATTAGAGACAGCAGGACCTGTCGGTGAATCAAATCACTCTGATTGGCAGTTCAGCTCAGTGCACCAGAAGAGAAGCGGAGGTGAGGAAAGTAAACAAACAGCTAAAGTCAAGAGGAAGTGAGACCGAAACAAAGGTATGATGATTTTTCTTCAGCCACTGAGGTCGTAAGTAGAAACATTTCCTGATGGTTTGTGTTATTGCTTACTGGCACATGATAAATATGCTCTGTTCTTTCAACAGTGGATTGTGTTGATAATGTGCTAACTGGCTAACTAGTGTCATGAGGGTCTTCAGGTTTCCCTTTTGGAATGATGATTACAGACAACCATTGTCTGCTGGTTTGGAGAGCTATCTTCTCTCATGCAAGCGCGGATGGTATGTGCTGGATTGCAGACTGGAGCTAAAATAATAGATTTTTTGGGTCACTACAAACAAATAAACACTAATGTTGCTTTGCATCTGCTGGGTGTGTCAATGGGCACCTGTTTGCTAAGGCATTGGTCATATCAAATTTCTAAGGTGATAGATAATATGTCACTGCTGCCCCCAAGTGGCCACAAAATCAGTCACTACCACTTTAGAAAAATTCCACAGCAACATGAATTTCCAGAAACAACAATCTTGTTACCTTCTATTCAACTTTCTACAAAAAACATTATCCCCAGAGAAAGCTGTTGACAGGATGTTATTGAGGGAATACGTCTGTCAATGTTGTGACCGCCACAACAGGTGGTGAAAGCAGAAATCTCAAAGGGGGTTATTTCAAAACCAGGACAAATAAAACCAAAACTGCCTACATGGCTACATACCACCAGAGGTAAGTGAGACAATATTGTGCTGTTTGTGTGATCTAGCTTTTTAAAAGTAATTGATAGACTCATTTGATATCATTAGACCAACTTTTGTTATAGCTGCTCATTAAATCTGCTTGCATTTGGCTCTCCTGCTTTAGAGCCATGCTGCTTTGTATTCCATGCAAGTAAAGTGAAATGAAATGAGTAAAATTTATAAAATTCTTGTGCTGTCAAGACCGGCATGACTGATCTGGTAAGACTGTGTAAGATCCCCATCTGTGTACAACAATACTGAAGGCCGATCAACTGCCAGTGCCATGCAATCCGGTAAGACATCGCGAGTTTATAATTTGAGCCTAGAGTGACATCATAACATCGTCTGGCTCACAAGCTTTTACCCACCTTATTGCCATTGTTGTACATGGCCACCAGGCACAGCAGATGGTACATGTGCCCACACTTGCCAAGTTTGCCCACCAGCTCTGGCTTGATGCCTTTGTGCTGCAGGACGCCTTCATAGCCTGACGACATGACCAGCCTCTCCATGCAGATGGTACAGTCCTGGAATAGCCAACCAAAATACTTCAGCTGCTATTCTACATGACTGTGTATTTATGAGACTTTCACACTCGGTTAGGACATCAAACGGTCACAGAGTGCATCTCTCGGTGGGGACAAAACTTTTAAGTCATCTGTGTGTGTGTGTGTGTGTGTGTGTGTGTGTGTGTGTGTGTGTATTTTGTGTCTTTTTCTTACCTCATCTGGCACCACTTTAATCTTCTCTGTGTATCTTCGCACCACGTCCTCTGGGTTTTTGCCTTGTCATAGAATAAAGCATAAGAAAAATGAGATGACCATTCAAGAAAAGCCAATCCTGCCACTTACTTACACCCATGTATCACACAAGTAAATATGAAAAAGGGAAAGATGGGCCACTGGATGGCATTTGCTTGTCATTTGAACACAAGAGAATAACAGCTAGATCTTGATGGATGACAAACTTTCATCAGTTTCAGTGGCAGCTCTGGCCTGAGCGTGACTGCAGCCCCACGTTTTTTTTTCTGATAAGAGTGTGAGTATGCATGTGAATGTAGTATACATGTCTGGGATGTTGAAGAGGAGGTCACCTTCAAACTGGCACACAACAACCCAGCCATCCCCACTCTCTCTGATAATCCCCGTGTGCAACCAGGCTAGCATGGCTGAGAGCACACCCACAGCTTACACCCCTAATACGCTTACAGGCAACCTCTTTTCCCCCGGAGCCTTTGTTTGTTCATTTGAGGGACAGGCAGCGAACAGAGGGAGGGAGAGCGGTGGAGAGAGATTGACTGAGCAAAAAATAAATAAATAAATAAAAAATTGTTAAGGTATAAAGGATAAGGAAGACAGAGGAGGCAGAGAGCTGTGAAGAGAGGGAGGAGAGAAAACAAGAAAAAAGGAGGAGAAAGACAGAAGAGACTCAATTACGCATTTTACGCTATTGCTATTTGATGGCTTCATTAGCCGGATCAAAAGCCTGTCTGACCTTTTTCTGTACAGAAAGTAGAGCAGAATAAGTCCAAATCTCTCTGCACAAGAAAAAATACATTTCCATTTTCCTTACAGCTGTCCAGTGTCTCTGAGTTCACACTCTGTCTGCAGGCAGCACACACAGGTTGCACATTTGGCTGCTGCCTCCTTTGTCAATCTACAGTGTCACTGGTAACACATTTTAAAATATCAATTTCCTAATAGTTTCTAGTGAGTTTCTTGTAAAGAGCTATGTAATTTGGCACTATTCATTAGAGCCTGACCAATACATCTGTCGGCTGATATTGGCCTATCACAGTTATATTGGTAATGGTGTTTATGTTGTCCCATATACACCATGATGAAAAGATTTATTTATTTATTTATTTATAGGACATAATGTAGAAAAGAAGCTCTTTTAAACAGACATAGAGCTGCTACAAAGTCCCTTCTTCATGCCTTTTTTTTTTCTTTGCATTTTTACACAGAAACAAAACGACAGTCGCCTCATGCTGCTTCTTTATGGAGTTATAGACAGCTTGCTGGCATCACGGAATAAAAAGAGGAGAGATGGACATGACATGAAACACAACAGCGTCAGCCTCTAATGTGACATATGACATACGTGTCGGCAGGGCTTTACAAACACTAAGAATGGCATTAACATGGTAATGACAATCATTTACCATCTTTGTTATATGGAGGCTGATGTCACCCTCTGCTTGGAGGGGAAAAAAGCTCACAAATCTCATTGTTTTCTGAATTTGCGGACATTTACAGCCGCTGTTCTTCTTTGAGTTAGCCACTAACTGCTATTAGCTGCTTTTTAAATCTCCTGCGTTGGGTTGCACGCATGACACGTTGTCAAAATGTCACACCCATGCCACCCATGATCCTGTCCTGCTGACTGTCCTGTTTATACAGACACCGTTCTGCACCTTTTCTACCTCCCATGGTGGTCTAAAGGCAAGACAACGCTGCCCCCCATTCCATGATCGTATCTTATATACAGCATGCCGTTAAAACAGCACAATAATCCGGCCTTGAACAGGTAGTGTAAAAGGGGTTAAAGATGCTTGAAGTAATATTAAATTCCCAGTGAAATTTACTGTTTCAGTGTACTGATGTCATTTTTGACAATAAAGGTTATTGTTAAACTGTAAGATATCCTGCCTCCATTATGTTTGTCACAAGTGTTTGATAACCATATTTGAGAGTTAACTGTAGTGAATGAATTAATGGGGTCCCACCTCCAACGCTGTAACCAGGTCTCTTTATACATGCATGGTTCAACTGCCAATCAGTGATTTCACTCACAGTCTTCGCCAAGTCTGACATCGACATCCTGAATCAATCTAGAAACAGCCCACAAAGGCTGACTAGTGCCAATGGTGCAGGACACACCACAAAGAGTAGGGCAACAGAAGTTCATCGACAGCCCAGCATTGACTGACAGCGGACCGTTGGCTCTGTCAAAGCCCTTAAAGCCTCACAGAGCTGCTAGCATGACTGCAGAGTCTTGAGTTAGTCAGAAATGATTTTCAGACGAGTTTTCATTAATAGACTGCTCCATTTAAAGCCTGCTAAATATTTAGTCATTATTCATTTATCATTAAATTGGAGACATAATCCTCTGCTGGAATGTTCCTATAAATTTACAATCACATATCAGTTCCTTCGTAGTAAATTATAGTAAACTATGAGGACCCATAAAATAAAGTGCTGCTGCATTGTCTGCTCTGAAGGGTTGAAGAGGACAACTACGGTGTAGAGATGAAAACCCAGCAGCCTCACTGATCAATTAGGACAAAGACTCTCTTGGGAGGCCGGCGGTTTCCACGGCTTCCATCGACCAGCAGTTATTCAAGCACAAAGCCGTCCAACTAAACACCAGATCCTCTCTCAAACCAGCTCAGTACAACAGTCCCTTGTTAATTACTTTCCTTACGACGGCTTCTGTCAATCTGCATGGAGTGTGACACCTATAAAAGAGTTACAGTAACACTTTCACCGCATTTGCTCATAAATTTGAACTAGTAATCATCATTACATTTTATGGGAGCATTTTGAAAGGTACAGGAATGCTTTCCTAACGAATCATCAGTGACCTTGGGTGAGGTTAGATTGATTTAAACAGCCTCACGGAGCTTAAATGGGAGGCATTTACAGAACAATTATGGAGCCTTGATCACAATAAAAAACAGCTTTGGATTAGTTTACATGCTAAATATCAGACTTACAGAGAGCTGATCTGGAAACAATGGTTGGTCTATTCCTCTTATCATTGCATTTCAAATGCATTTGCTAACCCACTATAAAATACAATGGTAGCATTTCCACCTCTTTGTTTCTATATTGTTTCTATATTGTTTCCTCCTCTCATCTCACTGATTCCCTCCATCTTACCTCTCCTCAGGTGCTTTTTCTTAGTTTTGCGGCGCATGCCGTTGATCCCTGGCACAGGCTTCATGTCGCTCTTGTTGATGGGTGGTGGATGCAGTATGGGCTTGGGGGCCCGAGTCAGGCAAACCGGCAGACCTGCAGCGCACATCAGGATACCTGTCATACCTGATGCATATGGACAGCACACACACACATACACACACACAGAAGAGTGAAAAAAGCACTGATTGTGAGCGTCTTTCAAGATCAAGTGTTTGAACACAAAAAGACACTCTTCTTTGTTGTTTTCTAAGCAGATGGTCTATAATGAATATTGACTAACCTGCTAGTGCTGGGTGCACTGGTCCAGATCCAGTCAGGTTCTTTACTGGGAGAGCAGGAACCCTACAAAAGGAAATAAAAAAATGACTTTCTGGACTGGTGTTTTTAAAGCACCTCATGGCCACAGAAAGTGACTAGCCCACATTATACATTCATTCAGAGTCATACTACCACCTCTAGGTGCCATTTGGAGACATCAAAAAGGAAAACACTAATCATCTCCTGATTAGTGATTTATGTTGTGCCAATCCATTCTTTTTTAAAGAACAAAAAATATATTTTTCACATTCTTTAAAGGAATATTTCATCCTCAAAATTACTCACTCTGTGTTACCTTGAATTCATAAGGATTTAATTTAATTTAAACAAAGAATCCAAAAACAGAAATAATTCTTGATGAATTGGTTAAAATGATGGCTGTGTTTAACAACAGCAAAACCATGTCATAACATGCATTTACAAACTCTCACATCAGTTGTATGCTCAGTACCAAAACACATGCTTTTTTGCTAAGACCTTACTATATAAAACACTTCTGCATAAACAGTATCAAGCATGGATGAGTAGCGCGCTTGGGCAAGCGTGTGCATTTAAACTCAGCTTATGCATTCCATTAAAATCCTGTCTCCAAGCTTGTTCATTGGCCAGGAAGTCAGGCTTGGGGTGGAGGAGTGACAGCAGAACTGCTGGCCAATGAACAAACTGGGAGGTGGGATTTCAATGGAACGCACAAGCAGAGATCAAATGTAAATGTGCACGCTTGTGAGAAAAACAAAGTTCTCTTCGTGTATTCAAGGTAATATGGGGTGAGTAATTGTTACACAAAGGTGGAATATTCCTTTAAATGGCCCTATGACCTCTAAAATGGCCGCTAAATTGTCCTGATCGTGCGCCACTGCTTGTGATGCCACCACTGAGGAAAGTGAGAACAGCAGCTCGTTCTGCTCTGCATGCCACAAAAAACACTCAAGTTAAAATGTCACATGTGCTTCACCACAGAGACAGAGACAACTGCGATGGGATAAGACAGCTTGACTCATGTACAAAGCACTGCAGCAGAGCCTGATTCAGGATGACATTTGGAGAGGCTGGAGTTCACGGCAAACACAGACGACAAAGACAGTTGACTTGCGCACTCTTCCAGATCTGTGGAGCAGAGCGGACAAAAGCACTTGAGGCATTAATATGAGCACACAAGTCAGTGAGTCTCTTTTCAAAAGGCCGGAGCCTCGGTTCAACCAGCATTCCACAGCGAGGGCCACAGAGCAGCAGAAGTCAGGAACAAGTTTTCTTTCCTCAGGTTAAAAGTATACTTCAGTGTCATCATGACAAGACAAGTCAACTAACAGCAACTTACGAAGTTAAATCATAGGATGGAAATGTTGGGTTCATTAAAACTACAATTGCAATTGATATCTTGTTTTGAATCACATTTGAGTGAAGCAAAGACGCAACAAGAAAAATCCCATGAGATGCGAGTTGGATGTGAGTCAGCTCCAGAACATCAAGTCAAATCTTAGCTTCAGGATAGAAGGGCCATATTTACACTGGGTCGTTTCTTGTATCTTGAGCATCCAGAAGCTAATAGGTGCAGAATTTCTTATATTATTACAGCATCTTTTAAATCTTTCTATAAATTAGTGTAGTCTCTGTTTCCACCAATGATTGTGTCTTGGGTTTGGATAGCTGTTGCTGTTTAACAGATAAAATTAGCGACTACCTGGTGAACATAGTGGAAGATTTAGCAGCATAAGAGCTAGATATTTTTCCTATAGGAGTCTAAATTAGCTGTATTAACATAACTAAACTAAACATCTTTAATTCAAAATCTGTAGAAACAAATCTCATCATGGACTTAGTGTTAGCTAGCTAGTTGCATGCTCAAACCTTAGTTATTTGACAGTAACATTACCTTTTGAGCAGAATGCAGATTAATCATTTTGTTAATCTACTCGGATCAATCTGTTGTCATCCCACCACATATTTTCATTATTTTCCTGGCAGTAATGTGCAGTCTGCAGCTGGCTCGTGCTTACATAAAGTTATGTGTATCCTTATATGTATGCAAAAGAAACAAACAAAACAGGGACAAACTGTAATGCTCCACAGCACCACTGGGGGCGAAATTCATAATGGACTAAAATGCTTATGCCAAGCTCAGACTACAGGAGTTTTAAAATCCTGACTGATTTTGAATTGGGTTGCATCACGCACATAAGGAGAAACTTGACAGATGTTCTTCTCTCTACTCTCAAACTGACTACAAGATTTGAAAACAGTGGTGCATCACACACCACAGGATATTATTAAAATGATGCCAGAGGGAGCATGAATGCACCACCTTCCCTGATTTCATGGGGAAGCAGATTAAAATTATAAAAAATTATAGAGGCTGACATGGTGCAACAACCTGCTGTAATGCTTTACAGAAAAAAAAAGCAGAAGGCTAAACAAGTCCGAATGAGGACATGGTTGGGGAGACGCGGTCAACACAAGTTGTTCATTCTTCAGCGAGAGCTGAATGTGAGATTTAGCCAATGTTAGCCTCAAAGGCTAGAATATTTATTGTTGCTTGGCAACACCATCAGCTGCTCCATACTGATGTACTCATAGCTGTAATAATTCAGATTTTTAATTCTAAATGTCAAACATGTTTGAAATTATCTGGGCAGCCCTGATGAGCCTGCTCGAATATTACCAGACCGATTTCTCCTCTTACTGTCTGGAGTCTTGGGAATAAATCTGTCCCAAACTCTTGTAGTCTGAGTCTGGTTTTGAGAAGATGTTCTTAGACCACCGGGGCTGAAAAATGAAGCCAATGCTGGAGTGCAAAAAAACTGCAGTTCCTCAAATGGCCACTTGAGGCTGGCTCCAAAAGCAAGTCAGTCCTCATAGACCCCCATGTTAAAATGCTCAGCTTTACAGCAGAAATACACGTTTACAGCCTGGCACAAAAAATGGTTTTTTGGTCTTGATAGCTAATTCGCCCTTCATGACAGCTGTACGTGGGGTTAATTTTTAAATAACTCATCCGTTTAAATTTTAACGCGGCTTTAAGTTATGCATAATTAAAAGCACTGCCACTTTGAGTGACAGGCTGTCTGCGAGGCCTCACCTCAGCTACTTCAAGTCACTCAACCACCCTCACTCCTCCACAGCTCCACCCTCTCCTCCACATACCATGAGTCACCTCTGGCTCCAACAATCCAAGATGGCAATGGCCAAAATGCCAAACTCATGGCTTCAAAACAGGAGTCCACAAACTGATGGGTGATGTCAAAGTGGCTAGTCCATTATTTTTATCCAGTCTATGTCTTAGATACATTCTGTCCAGCTCTACATGAAAGTTACATGAAATGAACAGGTGTAAATAGGGTGCTGCTCACTGAGCCACTTGTTGGTTATCTCAGTTTATCAACCACACGCACACACACACACACACACACACACACACACACACACACACACACACACACACTGCACATACACTTCTAAATCTCTGCTCTTTCACCATGGAGTGACTCTGGCCCTGCAGCTCTCAGGCGTTTCACAAATCCGCATCAAAGAGACTGCTTTGATATTAGCGAGAGCCTCTGTTCCTGTGCCAGGGGAAGCCCTTCAATAAGCTGAGTGCAATAACGAAAAAGGACGCGAGGCCTGGCTGAGCCTGATGTGTCCTATCGCATCTCTGGTAGGGACTCAGATACACTGTGTCTCACACCAGAGGAGCAGAGGCCGGGATCAGATGACTACTGTAGCATGCTCGACAGATGTGAGTCAAAATAAATTAAAAGACTCTGATGTGCGATGAACACCTTATTTCAGAATGTCAAATTCAGGGGTGTGAAACAGAGAAAGGTTTGATTTTAGGTGCAGGATCTAGTTTAAAGCAAAGACTACAGGGAGTGATTTTGCACCTTCAACCGCAGCAGAAGAACTGACAGCTGCAGTCGCTGCTTGTAACAAAACCCAACCAGTCGATATGTCGAGGCACTCAGCTGCCCATCGCTGAGTCGTAGCACCAGTATCAGCTTTTCTGTTTGTTTTCACTGCTGAGGAAAATGTTTAAAGTGGCATCACCTTATCAAACAGAAATATGAAAAGTAGAACAGGTTTGGCTAAACTGGCAAAATTTGATACTTAATAAACCAAAATTGGGTGCTGCCCAGTGGGAGAGTTCCTCCTTCATTTAAAATGCACTTAAGTCTAAATCAAATCAAAACACACCATGAACAAGATGCCTCCCTTTATGAGTGCATGTATAATTTAGCTTGTTCAGTGAGAGCGCTGTGATCAAACAAATAATTTTCATTAGGAGGAGAAATGAGACAGCACACACCATGAGAGCCCTTAAAACCCTCTCACATTGTGTGCCGTCACCACACACTGCACAAACGACACACTCCTATACGCATACAGTAAGCCTTCAGAGGAGCTGTCAAGGATCCATAACATAACATTAAGTAGGAATGCTTTTCATCTTTATTGCTTTCCAATTCTAGCAAATATCTCAATCATCAGCCACAGAGTGCATTGCGTAATAAATATGCATATGTTGGTGAAACAGCTGCCCGCCGCGTGATTGCACAGCCGCCAAAAAACAACCAGCAGCAGCTTCTAATGATTGTTATCTGCTGGATGGAAAGAAACAAGCTAACGCACTTATCTTAACTGTGCTCATGGCTAATTTTTACTGAGACAGATAGATCCACATCTTGCAAGCAGTTTCCTATTGCGCTGTACTTCATCATGTCTGTAAAACGTGTGATTACATCTCTGTACACTGCAGAAATTGTTCCTATGCAAGACTACGCCCTAAACCAGCCAGTCAACCTGTGGCCCGGGTGCAGCTGCTACCCTTCATCTCATTCTGCGTGCTGCTAACCTCTTTTCTTGACTTCTTTTTTTAAAGAAATGTGCACCTCTGAGGCACTGACCTTGTCTGTCCCTGCTGTGTCTAGTGCACTGCGGTTTAAGACACATGCCACCTCCTCATACTCTGCTAACAATCTCTAATGCTGGATGATTTTAAGGGTTTAACTCTGGCTCTAGCTCCTCCCTCTTGCTCCTTATTCCTCTCCCTCTCTCTCTCTCTCACATCACATTTGTCTAAAAACACCATCATCACCACTGGGAGTGCATCGAAATCCAGTGTCATTACTGATCTTATATTTCCATGCCAAGAAAGTCAATGCAGAGAGTATCCAATGGTCCTGCGTTGGCTCGTGCTCACATCTTACATGCAATTATACCTCATCGTCAGTGTAAACAAGAGCAGACCTTTGGCCTTTCCACCACAACACTGTTGTTTCCAGTGCTCAAGTTTTGACAGGGCGCGATCAGCGAACCAGACTGAACCTCGTCACCTCTGCATTTCTTTCGCCCTGCCAGCTCTAATTTTTCTCTTCCTCCTGACCCGCGTTCACTCCTTCGCTCCCTTCTGTCAATCGCGCCTGGCTACACTCATACCTTTGATAGAGGACAGTTGTGTGCTGCTGAGGAATTTCCATCTCCTACGGTAGTATTTTTTACGTCTAATGCTGTAATATCTGACCTCAAACTGATGCAATTAAGTGATAAATCCAGCCCCTACATACCTAGCCCATTATCACCACATTAATTATGGCCCCTGTCAGGTCAGGGCGCAAGGGTCGCCGTCCCTCCTCTGTCTCCTGCTCTGTATCATCCGTCCTTTCCTGGGAGAATCTCCTGCCTGCCTCGAGGACTTAATCAGACTGAGAGCAATGTGATTCCCCAAATAGAGAGACCACATTAGGCCCAGTTAGGAAAGTGCTGACGGAGGACTAATATCTCCTCATCTGTTTATTATGCACCATAAAGACAGTGAGAGGGGGGTTGGAGAGAGAACTCCAGGAGTGCTTAATTGCATATTGATGTGAGCAGCAGGAGACAGAGGCAAGCCCTCTCCCCTGATATGCTAAGGGAGGGTTACAACATGGGTAATGCACTTTACACTGCACCTGAAATGCCCTGAGAATAAGCAGTAATGACACCGAGAATATCCAAATTGCATCAGTTTGGTCCAGATGAGCGCTCGTGATTTATTCATTAATTTCAATATTAATTTTTATCCTGTGGTGAGCGCCGAAGCAGAGCGGTGCAGCAGCCCACTGAGGGATAATGATCTCTGCACTCCACACACAGCCCTCCAGCCACCACTCAAGACGAGTAGTCTTAACACAAGCAGAGTGGAGCTTGTAAACACAGCCGACGGCAGCATGCACATGCCAACACACACACTTTATTCCTTTTGTCTGAGGACAATGCAGCGCATGTCTTAACTCAGCTAAATGTGCCAATGTGCATAAAGACAGTGCACAGAGGAAGTGGTTTGGCTGACAAAAAAAGACATGAGAAAAATCCCCAGAGATCTTGTGACATTCTTTCTGCGTTCATTCCACCTTATAATATCTTTCACACAAACATAATTCTCATGTCTTCATGTAATCATCATCCTTTCGCTTTTAAAATGTGTGAACTTGCTGCTTCTCTAATGAAAATAATCTTAAGTGGAAACCCTTGATTTACAGTAAAGACGAGTAAATACGTGACATGGCTTTCCTGTGTCGGGCACATGCAACAGAGTGTGAGCTCAATAATTCAAAAAATCCATAGCAGCTGACATCTGTCGTTACCATACATGACCTTGTTTCACAACAGGTCTTCAGTTTATAGCAGGTAACATGTAAAGGCAGATAGTGATATAGTGGGTTGTGTCAACGCAGTAATAAGATAAACTGATGTGTTTACACAATCCAGCAGATGGTGCCACTTCTAATATTTGTGCACACAAGACAGATGCATGAAGCAACACCCCACCACCACCACCACCATTTATAGCCCACAACCAGCGGCTTCTTCAGATACCAAAAAGATCAATATTTGAATTATACAAAGGTACAAGGTCATAAAAACGCTGTTGGCTTATTCACAGATGAAATCTTTTTTTTTTTTTTTTTTTTTTTTAAATCAAAAGTATCAATACATGAATGTAGCACAAATAGACTTAAGTATGGTTGTTTGTGTACCTAAGGCAGCAACATAAACTCATGTAAACAAGCCACAGCATGCCAAATACCTTCCTCACACCCAGCACCAGCTCTATTGGGGTGTGGGTGTGTGAAAAACAGATCTGATGTTTTACATTCTGTGTGGGTTCCTCTGTTATCTGTCTGAAGCACGCTTGTGGGAATGCGTGAGCGAGTTCACATTTCAGTTAGTGTGTGTGTGTTTGTATGTGTGAGCGCTCATGTCCTGCTGTGTGTATGTTAACCACGCTCATCCTGTATGTCGAGCCACTCGCCTGGGAACCGACACACTCTACCTCACCCCCTGTCTCTTCCTCTCTCACACTCTCGCTCTTTCTGTCTCTGCAAAACCCGTTTGTGCTGCGAGGTGAAAAAGTCACATTTCATCCACAACTCCACGCTCGCCTGAGCTTTCACTGAATTCTTAAAAGTACAGACGAAACGTCCCTGAATGGGTCACTCCGTGCTGGCTTTCTGTATCATATACACCTCTGCACAGAGACACATCATTCTCCACCTGCTCGCGGTATAAAATAAGGTCATAGCCTGCTATGAGGAGCCTATACGTTTCCTTTCAGTGACACAGAATTAGGCCACAGAAAGTGAAAGCATGTGTGCCTGGGTGAAGGACGGTATTATTCAAACATGCAGTAAGTGTGTCTCCCCCCATGAGCGGCGAGAACAAAATGGAATCAAATTAGATCAGGAGAGGGTTTATTTTAGTAAAAGAAAGCAGGATGGGGGACTGAAGTATCAGTTACAACGCTAGACACACATCTTTTCCTCAGCTCCTTTCGCTGAATCGCTCTGAGGTCAGAGCGCTCAGCTGAAGCTCCCATTTTTCCTTGATCCATTATTCATTCTTCCCCAGTGGAGCTCTGCCTCCATGGCAAATAGGTTTCCACAGCTACACCAGAGCCCACTTCACATGCCTGACCGTGCATACACACACCCGCACCATGAAACAATAACACGGTCTCACACACACACACACACAGATATTCCACATACACTGTCATATTTTTCCACATCCCATGACACAACAACCACAGCGTAGAGTGATAGTAACAAATTAGTTCAAAGCAGAGGCAACAGAATGATCCAGAGAAGCTGCAGTATTTCACGCCTATTGGGGCCAACATAAGCTCATTATGGAGCAGTAACCATGGCAGGCACACATATGAAAGAGAAGGGTTCTTCCTCAGTAAAATCAGCTGGACCCGAGGCTTTTTTCTGCAGATCCATTGATCAGCACGTTAAAGAGAGCAGTCGTAAATCAGCAGAGAGAGAAATAAAGACTGAAAATGACAAAGTACAATACACCACACACATGCAGGCTGAAGCTTTGTGAAGCAGACAAGCAGAAATGGAGATTGTCTCTTTGCTTTTTATATCCTCCCATTGCCTCGGCTGAACTGTAAATTCAACCGAATCCGAGCATTATCCTCATACTATAACAAGTAACTGGCTGCTGCAGACTCCAGAACATCCAAATTAGAAAATGAGGGGGGATGAATGATTGTGTTTGCAAACATCATTACCCTGGTGGGATGGCTCCTCTGGCAGTGCCCATGGAAATACGCTGGGTGCCCGGCCGGTTCAGGTTGTTCTGTCCGTTGATGGTGAGAGCGTGGTGGCCATGGGCGGATGAAAGAGATGGCATCACAGGGGAACAGGGGAAGTTGGCAGAGGACAGTGGCAACTGCACCTGTTCAGCTTTGGCTTGCCCACCTCCCATACTTATGTTATTGTTGTTAGGGCCGGAGGAGGCGGATGTCGGAGACCAGAGGGAGGTTCCAGCAAAGGTGTTGCTCTGCCGCACTACAGCGAGGGTTCCTGTGGCGCCCGCATTGCCCGCTGTCCCTCCGTAGAGCTTCCGCCGCTGGGAGGCCAGAATAGCATTAGAGGCGGCTCTCGTGCTGTTGACCAGGATGCACTGCTGGCAGGAGCAGGGCTGGCCAGAGCTGGCTCCCACAGGCCACGACTGCGACTTGGGGATGGAGCCCATGATTAGCGGGTAGGCCAGGTCCATGCGTCTCCGCAGGCGTCTCTTGCGCTGGCTCTGCCTGTTGGTCTGACACATGCTGTTAAAGTCGATGAGGTAGCAGAAGCCTAGAGAGGTCAGGTCGAGCCAGGGGTGCTGCTTCTCATAGGCGTTCTGGATGGTCACGCAGATCTCCATGTCATACGGCGTCCACGAGCCATTGTCGTTCTCCCATTCCCATACCACGCCTTTCCCCGGAGCAGACGACGGCTCGTAGAAGTTCCTCTGCACTGGTCTCATGGTGCCTGAAAGCAAAGGACAGAGGAGAGAACATGAGGACAATTACAAAAAAACAGTTGCTATAGTCGGTTACTATGCATGTCTATGAGCAGGACACTGAAGGAAGTAAAAATATTCCTAATGATACATGAGCAGAAGAATTAACGTCATTGCATTTTTAAAGTGCAGACTGTCTGTGTTCTGCATCTTTGACAACTCTGCTGGCATTACAGATTCAGGTCAATTAACTAGTTTGTCCACAGAAAGCGGTTCTCATTTTGAAAGCTGCCTGAATATTAATTAAAAGTGTCATTAAAAGTTTACTCCAGCAATTTAGTATGTCACTTACATAAAGTTAGGCGACAAGCAAGAAACAGATTAAAAAGGAAATGGACTTTTAGTCTCTAATGTGGGTCAAGCTCCAAAAAATTCCTAAATCTTAATGCAACTGGAAAACATCTTTCATCACACTCCCCCTCCCCCGCCTGCATCTTTTAAACTCCACACCTCCAGTTTGTATTTCTGTAAAAAGCTAAGATAGTAAACTTAACTTAATATGTAAAATCAGTGGAGTCCCCATTTATTTGTTAACTGATTTATCCACTGATATTAAATTAGATGACTCTAATTTCTGATTTCTAATATTGTAAATTTAAAGCATTGGTGGATTAATCTCTGGTGACATTAGCCTGAGGCAAGATGTAGTTTTAATGCTGCTTCAGTTTCAAGCTCATCAAAAGAGCTAGCAAGTGTTGAGACAGCAACTTGACCAACTGATGGAGATCAGGTGTAACACTTCGCTATGTGCCCGAGGGAAAAAGTGGTTGCAAACTGTAGCATTAAGTCAGAGGCTCAAGATACAAACATAACTTGTAACAAGCTGGGGTGCACACGCAAGTGAAATTCCTCCTGTCAAGAAGCTCTTACTGTATTAAAACTGCGAGCATGGCCTTTCAGACATCATACCCACAATCCCCTGCTGTCTCAGTCTGCAGTCTACTGTTCTGTACAGCGACAGGAAGGAGGGGGACACAAAGCCGGTAGCTTTGTACCTCTGTCCCTTTGCTGATGGCCACTCAGCTCCCACCTCCATTATAACACAATTACTGTAGTCACATGGGAAATCAGGACACCTTAGCCTATCCATCTCCCTGCTGCACGTAGGCAAGGGTATCCAGGCACTCCGACAGAGACCGTCACCCCCTCCTTCCCCCCACCTAATTTAACGGGTAAATGCACACTCCCCTGCCAGGGAGGACCAGGGTGATAATGGAGGGAAGGGAGCGTGTGCACAGGATGAATGGATGTGGGAATGAGTAGAGGGGTTGGTGGGCAGCGGTAACCCCTCATCCGGCAGCCCGGTGTTGGCTCCGGAGAATAAAATGCATCAGCAGAATCAGCAAGTCTGACCTTGAGTCTCTGCTGCACACTGCTGCTAAAGGACTCGGCTTGATGGCTAATTTCATTTGGAGCTGCTGAGAATCACACACACACACACACACACACACACACACACACACACGCTCACAGATGACTGCTCAGTGAGCCAGCTGCCTGTGTCTCTCACGTCTTCACTCAGTCAGCCATGCACAACTTTTTCTGCCAGTTGCGTCCGTGCCTGCTCACAGCTTGCTTGCTTGATTTCATGTATTCTCTCTAAGGATGATAATGAAAATAACAATGATTTTCCTTAATGGATTTCACAATAAAACACTCATCGATTTCCCGGAAGTCAGTAATATTCTCTGCACTTTTAGCGTAGCGTTGGATGGCAAGCCACACGTCTGAACACTTCATCACTGCGGCTCCTGAGGGATGCATTAGGTCTGACACTTTCAGCATGGCTGTGTGTTTCTGGCCATGATCAATAGTGACACAGCTCTACACAGTCTTGCTAAGTGGTAAGTTTAACTGAAGCTTCATAAATGTATAAACATGTGCAGGTGTGTCACGCCCAGGCATCAATTTAAACATCTCAACTTTGGTGAAGAGAGATAAACAGTATCTCCCTTTAAAAGCCTATTAGTAGTAGTAATTGTTCACGAGAGCTCAGATGGAGTCTGATGCATCAAATGTGCTCAGCTGAAAGATTTTCTATAAACAGTTCAGTGGGCTCTGAGGGATGGGTGTTTGGCAGTGAAGATTTCTTAATGTGAGGCAAGGCCAGAGCTTTGCTCAGCATTCACAGACCTACACCCAGTCTCTGAGTCTCATGTACTACTATTATATTTGAGTCGCAGAGTTAAGCACACACTTTTCCACAAAATAAATACCCGCTGATTTTTGAAAAACCTAGAAGGTTGTTCGACAACACTTACTGCTGTTCTGAAAGTATTTCCAGAATCCTCAAACACTCTAACCATCAGGCTAAAAAAATACATCTGTTGCACTGTAAAGTAATAAAAAAGTTTTTCAAAGATCAATGCAGGGGTAATAAATGTAGAGTACAGACTGGGGCTGTCACGGACCAGTGTTATGCATCTTGGTAAAGGATAAGTCCAGTTTAATACAATTTGTAACTTATTTCAGTAGTTTGGGCCATCATTTCTATCAGATATATATTTGAAGTCACTGAAACAATTGCTGAGATCTATGAACAGAACGACACTGCCTGAATAAAGTTGGACAATCAGCCAGTTGTAAACAAGCCTTCAGTTTAGCCAGATTATCTAAAAGCAACACTGAAATACTACAAGCAAATTGAAGGGATAGTTTGACATTTTTGAAAAGTTATATCTCTCTTGTTAAACCCGCACAGTGTCATTTTTACATTAATGTTTGTGTACCAATTCAACAAATGAGCTAAAACATGTTAATAAGTGAGTTTTTAGAGCCAAGCTAGCTGTTTCTGCTTTTCTTCAGGTTTTCTCATGAAATGTATGAAACATAGCCACCATGATGTCACCTGTTTTGTAGAATCCGTTTAGTTTGGCATTTTGGCCATAGATATGTTACCTAATCATCACTGTCGCTGTGGTAGCAACTTGTGGATGGTACCAACAGAACCGTTCCGTACCATTGGTCACTCCTCTGTTGGGGTACCTAGCACACAGATCTGGTACTAAAAGGTGGAGCTGTGAACACTGCAGTCCATTGATTGGTCAATAGCGGACGGTCACTCTGCTCAGGGCTGAGTTGAGGCTGGTTTTGAGGCTCATGTAACCACTGTTCATACTGTGGAGAGTTTTATTGGTAAACTGTAACTATAAAATGAAAGGGTGTTTTGCTGCCTCTTGCAGCAGCTGTATTCTGAGGAAAAAAATAACTTCATTCACTGGGCCGACTGCCTGCAACTTTTAAGGTGGAATGTTAACTTGTAATGTTACTCAATGCGTGAGTTGACATGACATGAATCCATTAGTACACCTTAAATTTCAATGTGACAACTTTGATTACTTGTTTTTATATGACTTACACTTAGCAATCAGTGGATCTTCAGGTGCTTATATATATTAATTTCAACCGGATTATGTGAACTGCATATATCCTAATCCACACTCGGAGGAAAAAAAAGCTAAAGCTGGAACTAAATGCACAAACCTGCAATTTTAAATATCCCTACTGCAGCCTGTTTTATTTTGTTCTGAAAATGGCAGCATGCAACCCCGTTCTGTGGACGATAAATGAGGTGTCCACTTCCCTCTGTGTCACTAGTAATGAGGAAATAGATTGAGTCCTGGAAGGAGCAGTGAGTGACAACAACCCCAACCACATTTAAGAGTACTGTTTGCGATGGAAACGCCAGGGTATAGCTACCACGTCTGAAGGGTTATATTTGGTTTCAAAAGTACCATACCGAAAGTGTTTGGTACAGTAACCCTGTAGGTTGCTATTTGGTCTTTGTGCTAAGACAAGCTAATTGTTTCTGACTCTGAGCACATTTCCAAAATGTCAGACTATGCCTTTAAAGTTCACCACCCAAATCTGTCGGATGTTTACAACATACAGTTTTGGTATTAATATTACTTTACGCCTTTGTTTTCTCCTCTCAAATTAGTTTGGCTAATCTGGGTGTTTCTTTAAAACCTGTCTGATTGTCTGAACGCTTGTTTCTTGCCCTGTTTGACCTCCTTTCACATCTAAACACATCATAAGTACAACACTATTGTTACCAGGTGAAGTGATGCCCAAAACTATAAAAAAAGACACAAATTCAAACAACCCAGAATAATTCTTTAAATATTTGCATTCTACAGCAGGGACTGCACAGGTTGCTGATCAGGGGTCTGGAGAGGAAAGAGCAGAGGCCACAACAACACAGGAGTCCTGGGGCCTCAAGTGGGAAGTTTTAGTCAAAACATACAGCCTGAAACTCTGCACACTGCCTCCCATTCCGCTGTGATTTACTGCTGTATATATACCTAACTCTGCCAAAAAGCCGGGCCTGAGTTGTTGATGTTCTCCCTGTGACCTCTTACGCTCTTCCTACCAGGAAGCTAAGCGAGAGTGGCCACTTCCTGTCTGACCCTGTGTGCCTTTGGCAGCCATCTTTCCTGCCCTCCTCTCACTTCCCTTGTCCTTTCTCACACGATGTCCTCCAGCTGTCTTTGCCCAGTGCCAGTATGTTTCCCCTCGAGTGAGCTGTAGCTGTGTGATGTATAGTCACATCAGGCCTCGCAGTGGGACTCTAACCCTGCCGTCACACAGGGCTAGGTGGGTTCAGGGTGAGCTTGGCTGCCCTTTCACATCTTAGCTGGGGGTAAAATTTCCTGCAGTCTGTTCGCCATATGAGGCTGTGCAAGTCTCCATCCTTGATAGATTTGTTTTCCTCTGGAAATGAAGGGAGGCCTATCTGAATCACTCTTTTAACTGGAAGGACATGCAACATTAAATTGCAACATCCTTGACTGCCCTCAGAGGCCTGCTGGAGGAAAAGGGAGCAGATTGGCAAACTGATGCTCTGTATTTCATTTTGGCTGGTGCTTTTATCACAACTGTTAACCAACGCAATTAATGCACATATTGTACTTCTAAAGATATACAGTGTGGCCTGAAGATGTAATTTAACTTCAAAGCAGAGCTGCAG